AAAAGTGCCTGTTCTTCTGTAATGCTATAATGGTACGTAAAGAAATACGCAATGCTCTGACATTTGAACGCAGAATTTATTCGATTCCTTTTTTCGCTGTTTTGACAAAATTCAGGCAAATTCGTAACGGTTTTAGTCGTACATCTTCTGAATGTTAGGGCATACACTTTTTCCCAAGATGTTTTACACAACATGCCCAGCCTAGATTATATATCTTCTTTTCGCGTCGTCTTTCCATCCCACTGATTCACGTCTTCTTATGTAGCTTGCTGCAGGCATTRGTTCGGCACTTGTGGACTGCGTGTCATTCTTTGCTTTTCTCCGGTTTATGGTTGGTTTCGGTCTAGTTGGCTGCATGCTGTCACTCTACATTTATGGGATGGAGTTGGTAGGACCACAACACCGAACAGCAGCCGGGAACGTGCAACACGGTTATTTCAATGTTGCTGGAATGCTGGTGACTCTTCTCTCTTACCTTAATCCATCATGGAGAATATTTCTTATTATTACTACAGCCCCAGCARYACTTCTTYTGTTTTTCTGGARGTAAGTTCCACCTAACTAACCATCCTTGCACCCACCTAACAACCTGTCCACCCGCATGGTTGGCAGTCTGTCCTCGCTACTCTATACTAACTATCCATTTTAGTAATCCAGCCTTCTTCACCTATGTACGAATGGATGTCATTCACTATTTCAGATGGATACCAGAATCGCCACGATGGCTGGCGGCTCACGATCGAGTCGATGAAGCTGTAGTTGCAATTCAAAAGTATGGAGCCAAAGATGGTGGCCCTGTCGATGTAGAGAAWTTGAAAAGATTTCTTCAAGAAGYTAGCTCCCAACAGTCAAAATCACACGCAGGGGAAAAGAAGTACACACCGATTGATCTTATGCGCACTCCTAAGATAAGGAAATGGTCATTAATCSTTGGTTATCAGTGGTAAGATAACTTGTGATAACACATGTCATGGCTTCTCGACAGCCATTTTGATAGCTGTTCATTTCT